AAAACTAGCCCCTGGGGGGGTTGGTGGTGAGTTGTGTACAAAATTCATATAAGTGGGATCGGGAGAGTATTGTCGCGCAAAGAAAACGATGTAGTGCATTTTGATTCGTTTTCAGTGCATGTTTTTTATTATGGGAGACATTATCTTAATATTTAATAAAAAAATTGAAAATTGTTTTACGATCTTCATTTTATCTTCCACATTCATTCAAATTGGGCTCCCTGTGACTTGCGTATCGGGAGCTCCGCTTATAGGCAGTGCTAAATACATTTATACAGAGTTTATATGGGGAACAAAACGGGAATAAGCCTTTTCATGGTTTAAGAATCGATTCCACTGCGCATGCGATTTTATCCCGAATTTCTCACCTTCTTTTGTTTAATTAAGAACAAAAAAGGTTTAGACAAATTTAAGGTGAGAAATTCGGGATAAAATCGCATGCGCAGAGGAATCGATTCTTAAACTATGAAAAGGCTTATTTCAAACGGTTATCGTGGTCGTTCAATGAGAGTCGACTTTCCTACCTACGTACGCCTACGTACCCGGCTGCATATAACTAGCTCTATAGTTAACAGACCTGAGGCCTAAAAGCGATTACCGCGCGGATTCTCCATTCTCATAGTGGGCGCTGTGTTATCATCCTCCTGGCGCAAACGATGCAACCATGAAGATCTATCTCGTGTCATCTCTGGAGACCCTGAAGGCAAGTTCTGTTAACTTTGACGTTGTTCTGGCTGGAGATTTGAACAGGACTCTTCTCCCAATGGTAAAATCTGCTGTCAAAGCTTTCCAGCTCAAGCTGGTCGTTTTCTACAACTTTGGATCAAATTGACCTAATACACTATGACGCCACTGATTGTTTAAGTGGGGGATAGAATCGCTAAATCCAATAGATAATTTAACAAAATTTGCTCCTAGCGAAAGAGTTTAATCTAAAATGCCCTGGTTTTYAGTTATGATGTGTGTTAATATGTACTAAAAAATATTCTGAGCGTTTGCTGGCTATTCTACTTCTCTTCATGGATTGATACGGGTTTTAGAACAATTTTCGGTAAATTTGCGTTGACCATGATCCTTTGCGTTTAAACAATAGATTGTTGAAGATTGTTTTGATATGACGTCATAGTGAATGAAGGCAATTTTCACCAATTTGAGAGAATATTTCTCAGCCCCTAGTAGTATGCCTCCCTTTGGTCTGTCGGATCCTAGCTCAATATTTATGGGGACTGGAATCCGGGACAAGCCTAAATGCAAAACCATTAGATCAAGAGATATCCTGATATCCTAAACACCTCTTTCTCTGAATGGTCCATGGCTGTTCCTTGAAATTACCAGGCAAGTAATTTTTTTGTAAGTTTGCTGATGACACAACCATTTCCGAAGGATGCTGTTGATTATGTCAACAACTGGTCTCAGGAAAACCTCCTTCTACCTACTTACCACCTACCTACCTACCATACCTACTATACCTGCCATACCTACCATACCTACCATACCTACCTACCTACCTATACCTACCTACCTACCTACCTACCTACCTACCTACCTACCTACCCACCCACTCACCTACCTACCTCAGAACAACTAAAAGATACAACAAGCATCCCAACCTTTTTGCAATCAGAGAGCCCCCTGGGGTTTTTTATCAAAAGTAGTCAGCATTTTTACAAGACGTAAACATTTTATTTCATTTATTGGAGAAAGGAAAGCCATACTCCTTTTCTATGCCTTTTTGCATAGGGTCTATACAAAAGAAGTACTTATATCTTGAAGGACATCAGAGTAGCCTAGCCATCGACGTTTTTGGGCCTGCAGGTCATTATGGTATACCAGTTACATAGCAGTTGTCTACTTCCATGGAGAAAATTGAGTAGGTATGAGAATCTTTGTTTCACTTGCAGTAAGGAATGAGTTACAGTCACGCACTAAACAAATTAGGGAAAATTAAATAAAGCCTTAATAAACTAGGTGAGAATGCAGAGATGTTTTAAGAATATAGGTCTTTTGCACTAACAGGYCATGTGACCCCACCATGAAAACAAAAAGTTGTGTCAGAATGAACACCAGAATTGAAAAGTCAAAGCACTTATGGATTATAGCAAACTTTCAGCTTATRGCAACTCTCAGATTATTTGACTCGCGTCTCGGTAAACATTCCCCGATATTCACTGAGGCTGAGACAAATAATTGTTTTAGTATAAATACACAGGTGATTCTTTTAAAAAAACTAAAAAAAGAAGATAAAAGACATATTTAAAATTAGGAAAAATTTTAATTGAAGTAACAAACGAGGATTTCAATAACAACAGGCGAACTCCGATTTTGGGAATCTAAAAAGTTTGTTTGAGCTTATTTAATAGTTTTAAGTCCTTTTTTACCTCTGAACTAAGTTAGTGCAAATTTGTTAGCCTCTTTAGTCCTTTTTGGGACAGCTGTTATGAGAGAGAAAATTAATGTTTTTACACAGACTAAGCTAGACATCAGTTTTCTAATTACTAGTTTCTTATCGTATGAAAACAAGATAAAGAACGATCAATTAGTTATTAAAAATATCGATATAAGATTTCAGTAATGCTACCATCACGCACAAGTTGAGAATGGTATGATTTGAATTCGCAAGTAAACCTCTTAGCTCCTCTTAGCATGTGTAGCTCTGGTTACGCCCAGGTGGTGTGCGACACGGTGCACGTGACATTCATCGTCCAATCAGATTCCCTGATTTTTTCCCCCGAATGTCGCGCAAAAAAAAAAAGAGGTTGAAGCATTTTCCAAATTCCTATTGCTGAAGAAAAAGCCTCTCTATTTCTTCGAAACTAAAAATTAAGAGGCAGTCTCTGTAAAACCGGCCCACTGCATTTCGGGTCAGAAAATAGTTTTCCCTCAAACTTTTACCATAGAAAGGTAATTACTAGTAAGTAATGAAAATGACTTTATGTTCTCGAAATTCATCAAAATGATTTTTTTACAGCGCATAAATCCTGGACCACCGTTATTACTAAATTTGCATTTATTATCAATTGAAAATTGAACATATTTAAGTCGTCACTGCTCGCAAAATATAAAACGCTGGAACAAACTATTATTTTTCCTGACTTTTACATTCATTCTAGTGTCAAAAATAAGCAAAATTTTGAATGTTAACCAAAAGGGGAAAAAGGAGAAAAATAAGTATTCATACCCATTTGACGGCTTTTGGAAATCAACACAAACCACCCCTCACTAAAAAGCTTTTTTCTCCCAAGTCCAGAACGGGTTACATAAGTTTTTTACTTCAATCTATTGATCAAAGGTTGATAAAAGTGGATCCATAAAAACATTTTGCGCTTTTTATGTATCTTCTTCACAGCAACCTCGGACTTTTTAACTCGTGGATACGCGAAGCGTATAAAAGAGTTATTGTGAGGGGTCTGAATATGCAAATGTGTCACTCGCTCACTCACTCGCTCACTAAGATGTTAGCAGATCGATAATTAAACGTTTAGCGATCGTCTTACGTCATTTGATTACGAACGTTACACGACACTAGCAAGCACAAAGCTCTTATTCTAATACCATATAGATTACTTTGTTATTTTATATGAGGAAACGAAATGTCATGTTCCATGTGGGATCAGTTTCTAGCACTTGTAGACGCCGTGGGGGCCCACTGTGCATGCGCACACTCGCACATAGTTTTATCTTCGAATTATTCATATTAAAAGAATCAAGGAAAGATGAAAGTTGAAGTAAAATTATACGATTTACACCTGAAATAAAATTTCAATGACTTAGACCTTTTTTTCTAATGTATTTTAAAAAGTAAACAAACACGCTTATTAGGTACAACGTGATTTTTCAGAAGACTCGTAGATCGATCCGGTTATCGAAAAAAGCTATTTTAATTAGAACTCAAGAAGAGAGTCTGATTTCAAGCTCTGGAGGACTTTATTCTCCATA